GCTGAGTCAACCTTGAGCCGGTGAGATTTGAACAGCCGAACTGCAGAACTGCAGTCAGCTGAAGTAGCCTGCAGTGCTGCACTCTAACCACTCAGCCACCTCGGCTCAAAAGAAGTAGGATTTTGATAGCGGCTTCAAGATTGTGGCTGCAATCTTGATTTTTTTAAAAAAAATTCTCCCTATAGGCACCCCTGCCTGATTCAAAAGACTAACTCCATTTCCATTTATGTTATTGTTATTTCTATCTTTCACTTTTCAAAACTGACCACAATAGTTTCATACCAAGCAGAGGAGATTTTCTCCAGTAGCCATCTCTTACTTCAATGTAGTCATACCAGCAGAGGCTGCTCTTATAGAGGTCCATTGTTGTAAAGTTTAGAACAATCTGGGAAAAAATGTAAAGTACCAATAAATTGGTTTGTAGCCTGACAAAAAAGAAAAAAAGAAAAACGCGAAGCTGTTCTTACCAGCATATCAGTTTTAAAGTGGAAGAAGGTATTTCTAAGATAATTTTGGAAATCTTACCTTCTGAATAGCATCATGTGTTTATGACAGACAGAAGAAGAGATGACATTTGGGTGATTAAAAGGGAGATCAAAAACTGCTCTTAAAGACGTAACAGAAGGAAGGGATTGTTAATTTTCTGATAAAACCCAGTTGTAAAGATTCTGAACTTTTATTTTGTTAGCCAAGACGAGCCTAACAGACTGCATCCATTTCAAGGCACATATTTTAGCTAGTGACACTAGAGAACCACTTTAACAGAATCTCTCCTGCATATTCATATCCTGTACATTTATTTGAAATGCATTAACTGTGTGGCCTAGTGATTTCAGCAGCAAAACTTATCAGATGCTGCTAGAGATTTCATCACCCTTATCACATAGGGAAAAATAGTGTCTGGTTTCTTGTATCCTCCAAAGGAGTCAGCCAGATCAGAGGTCAATCTCCATAGCGGCATCTGAGATAAGAACCCTTGATTACTACCATGCTCAAGAATAGAGACAATTGATATGTCTATGATTTCCTGCAGGGCAGGGGACGGAAACTTTGAAATGTAGGAAGGGGATAAAAGCTTTGTATTGATTTTTTTTTTTAAGTAAGGTTTAAGACTGTGATTTCAATTGGCCTATTATAGAAGTAGGCACTTATTGTAATTATAACTGTATCAGAGATGGCCAATCATTTTCTGGAGAGTGTCTGCTTAAAGAATAAGATCAGAGTATTGATTATTTTGAATGGAACCATTTTAAGATGGAGCATATCATATTTTGAACAATTGCTTTCAAATGATTATTTGCTACTGTGTGATTAATGCAATTTCATACTGCAATGGTATACTTCTCCTGACAACTACCTTGGCACATGTCCTCTGTATCTGAATGGCAATAGCAATAGCAATAGCAA